GGGAAACCCAACATACACTGCATGTCTTCTGAAGGCTTTGGCCCAGTTGCCAATGAAATGGTAAATTTGCAACTGGGCTATCAGGGAGACAATCAGGACTCCTGTCCCCCCCAACATCTAGTTTCCTCAATGCAGAAGCAAAGGGCTCATTTGAGGGGGGGCGCGTAATATGGAGGAGTATTCAATCATGCAAGTCACCAACAGCTGTGGGAATATCCTACTACATGGCTTCCACTAATCCACTCAGGCCAAACAGACTCTTAGGCCAATTATGCATGGGACTTTGAAGAGGTATATAACTAGGACTATACACCATTAGCCATGGAAATTGATGTGCTTTAATCATACTGGTTCTACTGGACCAAAGTAGCTATAGGCAGATGGTGGGGAACTGCTGTTAAACCCCAGGAACAGCAGTGTTTTTAAAGAACAAAAATACCCACGCACACACAAGAGGACTAATCAGTCAACAGCAAACAAGTATTCTTCAAAACCTGAAGCCAGCCATAGTCCCTTCAATAAGATAACCGGCCAGGATACTCCCTCATATTGCAACATTTGGATCCTGGGATGTCTACCTGTTCCCCTGCCCTTAACCTCATGCGATGTTCACTTGCTGAAATAATGTGGGCACCTTGCCAACTAGGAAAAGCTCTACCTGCAAGAGACAAGAGCTTGCTGTTGACTGTTCTGCAGTCTGTACAGAACTGAGCTCCATTCTCTGCAAACACCTGCATATGCAATACGGAGCAATCTGACGGACTGCTGCCTATCAGAGGCTACAGGCATTTAAGATGCAAAGCAACAGAACTGGTTGTATTGGGCTCCTTTGGGTTCCCCTTTGTCTTTGGGACACAAGAGCTGCCTGATAAATTGTGTGAAACAGATTAAGAGCCTTGCGGGGACACTGCTTCATTTAAGCATCCAACTTCTTGGAAAACCCGGCTAGTCTCTTATCGTAAGAAAAAGGAAGCTTAAAAGGATTGTGCCACCAAAAGGTATGAAATGGCGCATCATGGTTTCACACTGCTCATCTATTAAGCTTGTTGCCCTGGTAACTTATAACCAGAAAAAGAACAATTGTTCCCATCTCTAGATTCACCCCCCCCCCAAAAAAAAAAAAAAAATTAAACTGCACAGATCATTTCGGTGCTAGTTCCTCAGAGGGCACTTTACTCTGAGTGCCAGAGATGACCGTTTTCCCGATGAAGCTGTTGGTCAGCTGGCAATCATATGCCCCAAAGCTCCAGAAGGGGTGGGGGAGGGAAATCACCTGCAATGAGTGGCACACAGTGTTCTCCACTGACCTATCTGGCAATTAAAGCATCCAGAAAGGGGAAAACCTACTGGACTGGAAATGGAACATTCAACATACGGACGGCCAAGATCAATTGACAACTGCTGAAACAGCCAGGAAGCCAAATGAAAGCTGTCAAACGGCCACTTACTTTTCACATCGTTCATTATTTCCTTCTCGGAGAGAGATTTTTCAACACTCAGCTCCGTTGGAGGCTCTTCGTTGTAATCTTTGTAGCCGTCGTAATAGTAATCCCGGTCTACCACCACTTCTTCCTCTTCTTCCTCTTGCTCCTCTTCTTCGTCCTCGTCCATCTCCACTGCTGCTGCTGTGAAGTCTTCTGTGTCTGCCTCGGTAGGGAACTCACTAAAAGCACATAATTAGAAGAGGAGGTTAATGCTGCTTTGTGGGCAGCATTTGATGGAAAAGAGCAGCAATTTGCCTTTTCCCCCAGGTTCTAAAAGCGGTGGTAGGAGAGGATGAGCATCCTGACTACAAATTCTCCAAACCAGCTTCAGCTACGAGGAGCTCCCCAATTTTACATCTATGCCAGCCCATTGCGGCAGTGCCATTTTAAACAACTAGCTCCCCAATTTTACATCTATGCCAGCCCATTGCGGCAGTGCCATTTTAAACAACTAGCTCCAAAAGCGAGGCTTGTTCGTTTTTTTAACTCTATATCCCATGTGCAGTTAATAGCAACTAACAGTAGTTGATATTGTCCCATGTAATGTCAATGGCTCCGAACAAAAGGGAGAAAAGAGGAGAGGAACACAGAACTTTAAAAGACTGAACAATAATACAACACGTTTCTTGAGTTACCCATCTGCTACACACACACACACTGGGATTAACACATGGAATTCACTGCCGCAGGAGGTGGTGGCAGCTACAAGCATGGACAGCTTCAAGAGGGAATTAGATAAACATATGGAGCAGAGATCCATCGGTGGCTATTAGCCATAAGGTACAGATAGGAACTCTGGGGCAAGTGATGCTCCGTATTCTTGGTGCTGGGGGGGGGGGGCAACAGTGGGAGGGCTTCTAGTGTCCTGGCCCCACTGGTGGATCTTCTGATGGCACCTAGTATTTTTGGCCACTGCGTGACAAGAGTGTTGGACTGGCTGGGCCATTGGCCTGATCCAACATTGGCTTCTCTTATGTTCTTATGACTAGCTATGAATTGTAACACCCTGGTTTTCTGCTCCTTTCATGTGGCATCCACTTCATCTATAATCGGCATGAGTGGTCTGCTGCCCTCACCAATGGGAAAACAGCATGGAGAGAGGCAGAGAATGGAGTTGCAACTGTTACCTTTTATAACTGTCATAGTTTTCATCTTCGTCTTCCTCTTCATCCTCCTCCTCCTCCTCTTTGGAAAGTGCTTCATCCACAATTTTGGCCTGAGGGCAGCACACGTATTCTGTGCCATGGAACTGGTCTACTCCACAAGGTAGCAGCATGCCATAGCTGTGCAGGATCATCCCTTCAGTTAAGCAAGCCTGGAGGTAGCATTGTGGCAACTGTTAGAAGAGCCCCCTTTGCCTCACGTAAAGCACCTTACATCACCCAAGCAACAAAGAGACGAGATACAGGTCTTTACAGTATTGCACCATTCACCCTATGCTCAGGTGTGGCAAAAACCTGGGAGTCACGTCATGCAGCACTTCTTACCTATAGCCAGGGCTGGCTCCAGCTTATTTTGCACCCTAGGCGAGGATCCCTTCTGCCCCCCCCCCGGTGCGCCCACCAATTCTCAAAAATAAATGCATTTTAGGAGGAATGAAAAACACAAATAATCAAGAAACTCCCAGAGTACGGGGCCGGGTGCAGTTTGGTGCCCCTAAGGGCCGTCCCGCTCTAGGTGATCGCCTAGTTCACCTAGTGAGTGAGCCAGCCCTGCCTAGAGCTGGTATGTTGGTCAATTGATCAGTCAAATATTTCATAAAACCAAGAACACCATGGCATAGGTGGCAGCTTACCTTTATTACTCCATTATGAGCTTGCCCCTGAGAACTACATGGGCAGTATGAAGTTTAATATCGATGTTCACAAGGCACATTTTACCTCGGAACCGAAAGCTGCACAATATGGAAGTCCAAACGTGAGCCGCGCATAATGATACATTTTACATAAAGAACATGAAGTCGAGAATGTCACTACTTGTTAATATTTTTAGAAACCAATCCCAGAAGCATGTAAGAGGATCCCCTCCTGCTCCCCCCCTAGAAGAAAAGAATCTAAAATTTAATAGCGCTGCTTTACAAAAATCTGGCTCAGGAGACAACCTCAAGCGTTCCAAAATTTAGCTGCTTTAAGCCTCAATTATAGATTATTTTGTCCCAGTAATAAAGGAGCCTGATTTGGAATGCAACTGCTTAGCTATGTATTTGCTAGTCTGATCGGGGGGGAGGGGGGGGGAATTAGCATGGAACTGGCAACAAGCCAGAATCACAAAGTAGTTAAGAGAAGGAAAACTGCAATCCCGCAGTATGCCATGAACTGGATAAAAAAAAGGGGGGGGGGAGAGGTATTTAGGCCTATGAACTCAGTTTGCTTTGTTTTGATAGTTCAGGAACAGCAGAACTCAATTAACTTGAACTGAACTTGAAATACGATCTCTAGACAGAACCGCCTACAATTACTCCCAGGAGAAAACCAAGTTTTCTGAATATTACATCTCAAGCTCTCCTACAGCTCATTATATTAACATGGCTTCCTGTGTTTCTAAACATGCCCGTACTATCTGCAAGTTTGTCTGTCGCATATAGTTCCCAGATCCCAAATTCCACAGCACTTTTACAAAACAGTTAATTATCTGTAACACCAGTCTATACTACTGCTATTGTATGTAACCTTTTTAATTTTGAGCTGCTAAGCCTAGTGATTTTTCTCACATAAGTCGGTATATGTATCCTTCATGATTTCTATTGATTTTGCTGCTATAAGTTGAAATGATTGTTTCTACAGTTCCAACTTGCACGTTCTTCCTCTGACATCCCTTTCTCATTGTGTAGCTAGTTACCTCTTTTGCCACAGTGTGCCAGTACTGGTGACTTTTGCACACATCCATCCGCTCCCTATGGAAGAACCGGCACTTCTCTGGAACCAGGAGGACATCACTGACAAACTCACCCACTGGAAGACAGGAGAAAAGATTTCTGAAATGAAGGTGCACCAGACTGGCTTTCTACCTCAAAGTACTTCTACGTTTCCTCTCAGAAAAGGTGTACTTGTTTCTGGACTCATAAGAATTATGAAACATGCACCGACGCATAAATAAATTAGGTTAACACACTTCTATGCTTAGAGGGCTGCTCAAATATAGATATCCTACTTCATTCTTGGTGCTCGGAATGTAAATGAATCCAAACAGGAGGGAAATAGGAAATACAGTATTCAGACAGACATTTCAAGGTGACTGAAAGCTTAGTGCTAGATGGTAGTTCACTTTTCCTTGAATACATAGCACAAATAAGCACAAATAAGTTTACCAGCAATATTTTATAATGATGAACCTATGCCAAAACCCTAACCACCAACAAGTTGACACCCATGTATGCTTTCATCCCACAGTTTTCCTTAAGTGTTCAAGATGTCCATTACTCTTCCAATTAATGCTATTTCATGAATGTTTAGCAGCAACGTTGTGCCAGGGTACATACCGAGCACTAAATCCTGTAAACCAGGGGTCTCCAACAAAGTTCCCTCTAAGCTGAGTTAGGGTGGGCTGGCTCACAGGTTTTTAGCCTCCAGCTCACACGTTTTTCTCTTAGCTCAGGAAGGACGGCTCCAGGGCAAACTAATTCATGCAGCAGCCAAATAGCTCGCTCACAGCTTTAATGCCAGTAGCTCACAAAGTAGAATTTCTGCTCACAAGATTCCACGGCTTAGAGGGAACATTGGTCTCCAACCTTTCGCGCTTGTGGGCGCCTTTGGAATTCTGACACAGCATGGCTGCTGCAGGAGGTGGTGTCAGCACAAAATGGCTGCTGCACCTTACCTTACCTTCTGTCACACAGTGAAGATCCTTGTGTTCCAGCAGCAGTTGCTGTTAAAACAGCATTTTAAAACAACTTCATGGCCAGTCAAATCTCCAGTGGCCAACAGTCCCATCCCACTTTCTAAAACAGGTTGCCAGGAGAGATGTCGGCAGCCTGCTGTAGGCACTGCATAACTACTTAAATTGGAGATGATTCATATGGTATTATATGCTACCCTTGCATACACAAGGCCTGGGGGCCTATTCAAATGTGGCCACTCACAACTGTGCTTTTGAAAGAGGCAGTGTCCTGTGCAGGGCTGCGCTATGTCAACTCTGCTGATCTTTCCAAGAGGCTTCTGGAGGGATCAGGCAAGAGGAAAAGATGGTGGGGGGGGAAAGACTGACAAAGCAAAAGGAAGTGTTCCTATTTCTTCTGCAACTTCTTTTGAAAAAGAACGTCAAAGAATGTGTCCCAAGTACAAAGTGGAAGTATGACTTAAAACATGGTCAAATTAAAAGCAGGACCAGAGAACAAAGGTTGGTGAGCAAGCAGGCAATCCAGAATTGTTTCCATAATCTGAAGAATAGTACTAGCGAGAGCCAGTTTGGTGTAGTGGTTCAGTGCGCGGACTCTGATCTGGGAGAACCGGGTTTGATTCCCCACTCCTCCACTTGCACCTGCTGATGTGACCTTGGGTCGGTCACAAGCTCTGGCACAGCTGTCCTTGAAAAAGAGCCGTTTCTGTCAGAGTTGTCTTAGCCCCACCCACCTCACAGGGTGTCTGTTATGGGGAGGGGAAGGGAAAGGAGTTTGTAAGCCGCTCTGAGACTCCAAGTGAAGGGCGGGGTATAAATCCAATCTTCTTCTTCTTCTTCTACTAAATCCAACAATGGACAAGCAAGAGTTGCTGTCCTACAAGACTTGAGATTATCATGGCTATGGAATTCACACTTCACAGATCCAGCCCTTCAATTAAGGAATACAGTTTGTCATTTGCTCAGAGAGAATAGCAACCAACTGGGAGACAGAGCAGATGCTTATCGCTCACAGGTCTTTGAGGCTTAAAGACTGAGGAAAGACGACAGAAAGCATCACTTGTGCAGCTGCGTTTCCTGCACCTGTCCACACACATAAGCATCACGGCAGCATCAACAGTCAGGGTTGCAGGCCAATCACAGCAGCAGCTCCGCCACTTTCCAAACAATGCTATGTAGCTGCAACCAATGCAAGAACAGATACACCCACTTTTGTTGGGGACTGCATTTCTAGCAGAGGCCAGCTGCAGCTGGTGTTCTGGTTGGCCTGGAGGCAACTGACTGAATGCCCAGAAGGAGGGAACCTGCCATTAGGGGAAAAATACAGAGAGGAGGAAGACTGCAATCACAACCTTTCCTAGGGCAGATGGTCAGGCATCACCACCAGCGGGACACAGAGTTTCCTTCTCCCTTCTATGCCACTACCCCTAATACTGGACTGCAAATGGGAGGGGAGGGGAGGCACCACCTTTGGGAAAGGGCCATGGCTAAGTGGTAGAGCATCTGCTCTGAGTGCAGAAGGCCGCAGGTTCTATCCCTGGAGTCTCCATTTGAAAAGGATCGGGTAGTGGATGGTGTGAAAGACTTGCATCTGTGACCCTGGAGAACCACTGCGTGCCAGAGTAGACAATACTTACCTTGAGAGACCAATGGTCTCACTCAGTATAAGGCAGCTTCATGTAAGTATAAAATCCTATTTTCAGTACTGCAATCCATACCACGCGGCATTAGGTAGAGCAGAGGTGTCAGACTCATTTGTTACAAGGGCCGGATTTGACATAAATGTCACTTCGTTAGGCCGGGCCATGTGTGCCATAAAATGTAATGCCAGGTACCGGAGAAATAAAATGTATGAAGGACAGCAGCTGGTAAGCTCCGAGTTGGTGTATCCTCACTGCAAGGCTGCATGGGCTGGGGGGGGGGGGGTGCAAAGGAAAACCGACATAGGTGGATTGGAGAGCCAGCAGTGAAGCCCTGGGCAGACGCTCCCACGCTGCTTGACTGCTGCAGACGAGGTTGTTCCGCCAATGCTGAAGCCACAATCAGAGTGGCTCCGCCCACTCCCCCTCCAAGCAGTCTCCTGTTCCCTACCTTGCAGTAGTTGCTCACGGGCCGCATTAGAGCCCTGGATGGGCCAGTTCTGGCCCCCCAGCCTTATGTTTGACACCCATGAGGTAGAGTGTCCAGAATCCATTTTGAATACAGGTTATATAGCAAACTTTAACAGAACTACATTTTTTAAAAAGTTTGGCTACAGATAAAACACAGCAGAATACAAAGCACATTAGTAACACAGACGGAACTACTTGCCAACTGAGCTATTTTTATTTCACTTACTAATTAAATCCCTGTCATGCACAAGGTGATTTTCAGCACAGCAGCCATATTTCAAGACAGGACGCTCTACTATCCGACTTTAACAGGCCTCTTCGCACTGAGTTATTTCCAGTTAGGGAAACACACATAATTAGGACAGGTGGAATGTGCATACAGCCAGATGCAACACAAATTCACTGAACCACTATCTGGGGATGCCAATCTGACTAAGGAAAGGCTCTGACACTTCCCCTAGTGAGCAATCATTTTGTGGACACAGGACACCGGTCAGATGGGAAAAGGGAGTAAAATATATACGGGGTGCCCAAATACCCACATTTTTTTTAAAAAAATATCATTCTGGGGAAGTTTAGAATGTACACATCCATTCAAGGACATAAAAAAGCCAAGCTAAGCCAACATCTTCGGGGCTTTCAAGATGTTAAATCTTCATTAGTCGCCTCATTTGTTTCAAATGTGATGCTTTCGCTATGCTGCAGACTGCACATTTAGAATCAACTTCCTAACCACATCTAGTCAGAATTGGTTAAGTTATAGCCAAGTGGAAGAAAACGACAAGAAATGGAACCCTAAGGGTTTTTTTTAAAAACTTGAGCTTTTTGGAGCCAGGTCGGTATTAACATTAGTGTTTCTTACCTGTTTTTACACATGGCTTCATGACAAAGACCTCTATGTCCGTAAGTCCAATACTTTCACTAAGACAGTGGCAAAGCTTGCTTTGACTTGGTCAAAAACCGAACAAGTAATTAGGGCCTTCCAAACAGATTTGTTCAGAACACTAATATCCAGGCAATGTCCAGACGTGACTCATCTAAGCTCCTGTTCCCCTCCCCCCTTGTAATCTGGAGAAAACAAAAGCCTAACTTCCCCTGTTTAAAAGGGGCACTGGGGGTAGATGGAGAAACTACTCGGACACTCAACTCCACTCACAGCCACTAAAGGGAAGGGGCAGAGCTAAGCTCCACTTCCAAAAATGGTGCAGGGTAGTTCACTGCCACGCACTGCCACGCACTGTCCCCCCCCCCCCAGTCCTTTAAAGGGCCTTTCCCCACCTGAACTGGGC